TGCTCACAACTCACGCAAGCTATACATTGCCGGTAGCTGACAAATGGCCTTGTTGCACAGATCTTCCATGGCACAGGCATGCATAAGGCAAAACCTCGAAGCACACGAAGTACACTTGACATGCACAAGCATTGCACGCAATGTCTGGTCTGGTTGCAGAAGCAGAAAGTCTGGCTAGCCCCCTGAATTGACCCACAGAAGCGTCTCTCGAGACTAAAAGATTCGCTTTCTACTCGCAAGGCACATTAAATATGAAGCTGCGAACGGAAAACTAGCAAGATCGAAAGATCTGCTGTCCTTATCTATGATTTTTTTATTGTATCGTGTTAGCTTAGTATTGCATATTTGTCGTTTATGTCGCAGGAACATATGTGGATATAGTTTTATTCATCATGCCTGTGATATACCAGCAGCAACAATAACAACTACAGCGACAAAACGGCAAGACAGGACAACTCCTTTGGTGATGTTCATGCATGTAGTCTTCTGTTGGTAGCAAATATTTCCAAAGCAGCCAAAACTAGGGTTGGTGTAGGGGCAGTTGGTATTTGCCTGGGGGCAGGGGCCCAGCATCATGAGCATCAGGGGGGGAGGGACTTAGCATCATGAGCATCATCTACCTTGCATGGCCGCCTTGACGAAAATCGAGCTGGAACGTTGGGGGAAGTCGGGATGAGGGAAATCGAGCTTGACTGCGTGCGGAACGCTCTATTGATTGTCAAGGGGGGGCTGTGGAGAGCGGGGCAGTCGGGATTTGTGGGCACGGACCCAGCATGACCCAGCATCATCAACATCAGCGACCCAGCATCATGAGCATCATCTACCTTGCTCTTTCAGTTCTGGCATTTAGACCGATGGCACAACCGAACAATTTTCAACGAATGGCTCAACGCTTTTTGGGAAAGGCTGCGCCCTCAAGGCGAGTTGACTCCACAAGTCCGCTTAGTATCCCCCAGAAGTTCTAGATCAAATGCCTTTCGATCCTAGAACTCCAAGCCAACCAAACTATGTGCAACAAATGGCTCAAAGGCTTGGGAAAACTCTCAATGCAAAGCGAGCTTGATGGTTATAGTGGAAAGTTGTATGAATCAATTGTCGAGAGGCGGGGGGCATCACAAGCATCAGGGACCCAGCATCTTGGCATCTTCGGTCACTCAGCCCATCAAAAGTGGCCTTGCGTGCGCGCTTACATGACGATGCAGCCTAGGTATGTGTTAACCTGAAACCATTTCTTCATGGATGTGTCCATACGTACCTTGATTGTTCTTACAGGTGCTTCCGCATATGTACATGTGTGCAATACTGCCGATATGTCCAGAGATAGATAGGCAGGCATGTAAAGATATCATTCCTTGGCCAGATATATGCAGACGTTGAGTTCTAATGTTCACAAAATAGTTTGGAATCAAATAGTCATGTCAATATATTTATAAGGCTCCATGCAATACTACATTTGATGTATGCGCTGATGACAGCGCTGTTCTACACATGTATTCTGACTTATTCACGTGTGTAGATTCAGATGCCGACGGATTCCACCAGTTTTGGCCGCGTAGAATGAATATGCTGCAAAAACAGGCAACATCTATGTTATCAAAGTTTCGCAAGTGCACACATGTGCAGAATTCTCAATGTTCGTACTTAAAGCCAGACTTACACATGCCGCGTATTTACTCCGAACGCTTGAGTAAATACATAGTTGTTAAATAGCACATGTGGAAATTCTTGATAACATGTATGTAAGCTGTTTATGTAATCTACACTTTCTATATGGGCAACGGTGTACGCACAAGAACAATGCATCATGTCTATGTAGAATCAGTGCAGTCATAGGAGCATGTGTAATACGCAGTATTGCATGAAAGCATTTTGGATGTCTGCTGCATATATCTGTTTTTGCATATCTTTATGTGCCTGCCTCTGTCTTGAGGAATATCGGCACTGTTGCCCACATGCAAATATGTGGAAGCACCTATAAGTACAGTCAAGGTACATGTAGACAAATCGATGACCAAATGGGTACGTACATGAAGAAAGCCAGATTTGTATGCATGCCTGCATGCTGCACTGTACTCATTCTTAGCGTATATATTATAGACATGGATAGTATACCATACATTGCTACAGGTTTGCAGATAAGAGCAGCCCGAAAGGATCAACACCGGTTTTGGTATGGATTTAGCATTGCAGAAACGACTTCTGTGCAGTGGCTTTTGCTCCAAGCTGGAGATTGCCGCGAATAACAAGTAAAACGGAAGTTGCAAAGTTGTGGATGGCACCAGATAGGAAGACGACATGATATCCAGATTCATTGTGTGGGAGCAATGCCGCGCGGCAAACCAGTAGCACAACAATGGAGCAGCACGTACCCAACCCCCCGCGGCCCCCCCCCCCCTCCCCCCCCAAAAACCTTGTCCCCAACCACAATGAAACACTCCTGTGCCAGGTGACCATCAACCTGATGGAGTTCGGGAGGTGCAGCCGCCACGCTTATCCTCAACTTGAATGGTGTTCGGGAGGTGCAGCCGCCACGCTTATCCTCAAGCTACGTGGAGGTTGGGAGGTGCAGCCGCCACGCTTATCCTCAACTTGAATGGAGTGCCGCCGC